ATGAAGGCAGAAATGCAAAGAGTACGACAAAGAAAAATATATATAATATATAAAGTATTCAATGTAAAGTAGATAGAAAAATTGTTATGTCGATTTTTATAAGCAGATTCATTCGACGATGTTCGGACAGCCTTGCCAAGTTTCAAATTACATTTCCGTTTCGTTCCTGGTCTTCGAGAGTTTCCCTTTACTTAGAGTACTATTCAAAGGAAAGTTCTTCCTCGATCTGGGTCTGTATCCTCTGTTCCCAACTTGTACGAAGTATTCCTAGGCGACTCGGTAGGAGGTAATTTTCGCCGCTTACATTGCTCTAATTACCAACTTTTATTCCTACAACTCCGTTCCTTGGGGAACTCCTTCTCTCTTCGATTACTAAAATTTCTTCGATTCTATCGCGGATGATTTTCAGACAATCTTTTGTGTACCCTACGGTCTTCGTTATCGGGGAATTTGATAATTCGAGAGGAAGATACGAACATAAACACGAAAAAGAAGCGAGGGAAACGGTAGGGGTTAAAGCCGGAGACTCGAGAAATATTCGAAGCAACGGTAATTTCAACAGGAAATATTCACGGAGCGGTAGCGCACTTTTCTCATCGAACAGGCTGCGTTTTCCAACCCCATCGTCTCGTTGCAGAAGCGTCTCGTGTCTAATAAATGTAATTTACTTAGTCGAGAATCGACGTTTAATTACGACTACTTTCAGGAAACGTTTTCAATCGTCCGTATATCTATGATATTCCACGGAGAAGTTGAAATTGCACGAATTCCAAGTACGATCGTTACTACGAGGCTGCGTTAATAGATAAGAGACGAGTAGATAAGCTTTATATCACGTGCACCGTTATCTCTTATAGTTACCGAGCTAGGAAAAACGAAAAAAGAAGGTGGAAAGATACAAATTATCGTCGATGAGACAGATCGGTCGGATCGTTGTTCGAATTCATAAATTCTTAAGAAATAAAATCTCCGATGTCGTGGAGATTTTCTGCATCGTTGGCAGTTTTGTCTCGTGGAGGAACGCACGGAAATAATTTGACATTTCGGAGGAAGAATCGTGGCTAGCCGATGATCACTACGGAAATTACACAGAGGAAATAATTACTCGCGCCGCTCGTCGTTTTGATTTTACGCGCGATTCTGTAAACACTGCAATTATCATCGTTCGTATATACAACGACCGTGCGAAACAGAAATCAGCGCCAGACTGTTTAAACAATTACGTGGTCTCGATAAATCATCGAGACGTCGCGTGAAATCGTTGATGACTCGCGATTTCTATATCGTCTGGTCATCTGTATTTCCTATCAAGTAATTCGCTAAGAATTACGTGCAAAGTTTATTAAAAATTTAAGTAAATCTAGAGACTTTTGGAAATAATATAAAAACAACGAGTGGAAGATCAGTGGAATAACGTTTGCATCAAACTAATTAGTAAACGTCGATTAACATTGAATAGGCAGCCATACCTATGTGATTTGCGGATATATTCTTTCTTTAGCTTTTAGGTGAGAAATTCATACAAAGATCGCAAAAATGAAAAATTCATATTCTCACAAGAGCATAGGTATCGCATATAATTGATCTATTTTGTTGGCAACTAAGTGATTGCATTACCACCTAATGACAAAATCCGCAATCACTTAGTTGTCAACAAAATATGTTGAGCAACGTTGCTGATATTTCAGTCGACGTTTAACTTGCAACATTCTCTTATGCAATAATTAATCAATTTTTTGTAATAAGAGCTGGAGTAGTTCCGTGTATGTTATTTATCGGAATAATCACGATTTTTCCCGTGAATCGTTGCGTCGCTTGGAACGTGACATAGAAAGGTCCCAAGAATGTCACGTGTTACAACACGAAGCGTAGTAAAAAGCACACTCTGATAAGATAATCTTGATAACTGTGAAATCGTTGACCGCGCGTATTACCGGGCAAATAGGAAATTCAAGTCGTACCTCGTGTTCGACTTTTATTGTAAATCTTCCGAAATCTTGGTACGAAATTTCATCGTACAGTTGCGATCATATTCGTTTGTCGCAGCCACGCTCTGTGATCTCGATCGATCCAAATTTAAAGCGTTACACAGATCATCATTGAACGCAATTGAAAACAATTGAAATCCTCTGAACGAGACATTAAGGTCCTCCAACAACGAAACTAAAAGCAAACCGTTTTGTCCATGCTGCTTTATCGTTATTTTCATTTTCTCTAAACGGTGACGAATTAGAGCGAAGGAAGTAGATCGTCAATGTCCACAAGGGAATCGTTCCAATAACATAATTGTCCATCCTCTGCACCATTATTTTCTTTAATGCCCAGCAAATTGCTTCTATCTCTGTATAAAGACCAGTTGCATTGTCATTATAATCGATACGTGCATTGTAATCAATTCGTTGTGGATTACTGTTATTTAAACTAAGCACACGGAATAGAATTTTCCCACTAAGTCATCCAACATGTAGGTTTCGCTTTAGCGTCTGGCCCTTTTCACTTGGCTCGAGCTTGGATTTGAAAATCGAATTCCTGCTCCATCTATTTTCGTCTACCTGAAACGCACATCCAGAACGTGCATCGTCTACGAGATAAAAATTTCCTTTCCGAAAGTGATTACGTAGCATATTGTGTACAAGTATCCTCGAACTCGAGATCGCGCAATTCTCATAACAGCCCAGCTTTTCCAAATTCGTTCTGTCAGACATCCCGCGGGGACGTGTCCATATCGTTCAAACTCGAAGACAGTTAACTGGAATCAAAACGAAAGGTCGGTACCAGTATCGCCATCCTCGCTTCCGCGAGGGTGGACTCGTTTCGGACGCGATTATTTGCCACAAACAGTAGCCGTAGAGGAAGGAAGTAGGAATTCTCGGTGATGACTGGCGGAACCGTAACACGGTAGTCTAGTCTCTGTCGCGTGGACACACAAACGATGATGTGTGACTCTTTCGTGGGCCGGTTTGAAACACGGCTCGTAAATGTTAATCACCGTTATACCCGGTGAGGCTAATCCAGGTCGGTTGTACACCGCGTTGGCTTCCCTCCCAGCGGAGCCGAGGTGATTCCTGCAACAATTTCGGGCTTGTTTGTTAATGCAGCGTGCACACGAGCGAACGGTTCCCCGCGCTACGATGTATTTAACCTTCGTTGCTGTTGCAATGAAAGATGCAGGTGGAAGCAGCGCGTGGAAAGTTAGAACCCGCGTTTCTCTGACCTGCGAGCTATTTGTCGAGAACGCTATACAATTGCTCGTGAGAGTATTTCAACGCTTGCCGTAAAAACCTTTGACGCATATATTACGCGTGTTACGTGGAACGTCTTGGAGTTTCGTTAGCGCTGCGATATCGCCGAAGTTTGAAGATTCCTTCATATTTAATATGAAACTTCGATTCGATCGTAGAACCGATAGGCGATGATAGTCGATGATATTATTTGCAATCGAATCGCAGAACTGTAATTATTGACAGAGAGACGTCGCTTAATCTGTCCTTTGAGTTAGGCTTAGACACGTGTAGCATCTTGAGAGCTAAGTACCGCGCTTGACAATATTTGTCGAGGTGTCGTGCATAAGGTGCCTCGTGTTAATCAGACTCTGCAAATATCTTGAAAATTCGATATGATACGAGACACGCGTTTCGCCGTATTTATATCGCGAGAAACGTTATTTTCTATGAATCAGGCAAATTACGAAAGATACATGCGAGATATATTAGTGGTACCTTAAATTGTATTAGTCGACGACATCGAGGCTATTCCAGATCAATCAAACGTACATGCGTTTCCAACATCTAATCTGATCACCATATGCATTCAATTTACGCGATACGATTCTACTTCCGATCGAAATTCTCTCGCTCTCGTGAAATACCGCAAATAAAAACTAACCACTCTCAAAGTTTCCAATCCTTTTGTTATCTATCAAAGCACAGCGCGATTGTAATCCAAATGGACCACTCCGTGCATTGTATTATATAAATCTAACAATTTTCTATGATTTTGAACATGCTTCGTTTATCTGAATATCTGCAACGTAATCGACGCTCTCGTCATACGAAAGGATCTGCATATACGTGGATCTGCACGGAAATCGCTCGATCTTGTTCGCCGGAATGACCTTGTGGATATGCTCACGGATCGCACTGCTCGATGGAATCTGTTGAAATAATTACGCAGCATGGCAAAGCAGAGATGCTCGCACGAATAGTTTCGCAAAGTTATTCAAACAGCGTGCCGCGATCTTGGCGGAATGCACGGCCACCTGAGAACGAGTGCACTTGTTCCCGCGATGCAACCTCTGATGGATCCGAAGAATTTCATGCTCGAGCAGCTGGATGCCTTTGTGGCGTATGGGAACCACGAAAGAGCAACGTCACAATAAGCAATGCAATTGCCGCGGTAGCTTGCCACTCTTTCCTCCTTTAATTCCAACGAAACCGCCTGCGAGCTACACCGTGTCCACTGATTCCAGATCGTCAGAGAATTTCGAACGTGATTTAAGATTTATAGCGGGTGTCAATTGCCGAACATGTTCATTAAGAATGAAAAGTTTTCATGAAACTTTGGAATGAAAGCGTAGGTGTGGTTAGGGTAAGGAGAAACGATTTTGAAATATTTATCAAAGTTTGAGAAAGAGTTGAGCGAAAAAAGAAGATTGGCGAGTTTCCTTACGAGCGGAGTAATTTTGAAATCTGGTTTAAGCGAGGGTAGAAAGAAAGGTCGTGGAAGAATAATTTATGCGGCTGAACCCACTAACCGAATCGTCGACGATGCAGACGAAATTTCACCCTCGAATTTCTTTCGCTCGAATTTTTATCGAATAAAGTTTCAAGCGTTTGACGTTTAACCAACGACTCTACAATTAGTAGAAACGTTAAGAAGTTTATGCAATAACAAAACATTACCGGAAGTTTTTCGAACTTTTTGAAGCCTAGAAAGTAAAAAATTAAGCTCGTGCATATGGGAACTATTCGTTTAGATTCTGAGGATTTTTTTTTTTACAGGACCATTACAGCGCTTGCATAAGGCTCCTTGCATTTTCTATCATTAAATATTCTATGAAATAAGTCCACCATAAGCTTGTAGGCGGGTAATGCATTAGATATCACTAGCCAACTCAACTATTATCCTTAATCCCATGTGGGACCACGTATACCTCAACTGTTGCAAACCACGTTGCAACCTGATATTTACAAGTCTGCCTGACGAATGAAATATTCAAATCTAAATTCGCGAACACGCGGTATTATCTCGTAGTATTACGATATAAGCCGCGAAAACGTCGAAATAACACGATGGAAACGTTCGAATGGTCGAAATTGTGCCCGCAGAAGTAACCAGGTGTAACGTAGTTTAAAGCCGGCATGTGGCAGCTGGTCTTTTCCCACGGTGTTCACGGCAGCTCGAGGAAGTTCAAGAATGGACTGGACCATCGTACTTCCCTTTGCTCCACCTCCGTCGTTTTTTTCACCTATTTTGTCCGAGGGATCCGCTCTTCTACGGTCCTGCGTTTATAATTCCGACGACGACGACAAAGAGCTAACTGGGAATGCAAAGTAAGAACCCCCGTTTCTGAACGTTTTTGTGGTCACAGGACAACGATACCTTTGAATCGACGGTTTTGCAAACACTTGTTAACGTATAGATACTATCTGTCCTGAAATTATCTTGTAAGAAGAGATCGTTGTTTTGTCCTGTGAAAAGTTTACGTTTGTTTATGGAAGATCGTTTTAACGTTATACTTCGTACGTAATTTGATCACTGTATTGCGAATAAGATTGCAAATAAAAGGAGTTTAACGTGTGTCGTTCCAAGTTAAAGAAGTTACGTTAAAAAACATAGGAAATGGATAAGAGTAGAAACATTGGGAACTCGTCATCTTTCAGAAAGCGAATATCACTGAAACAAGGAAAAGAAAAGACGGTGAAAGTAGGAAGAGATCGACACAATCGATGACGGCGTGCAACAGAGGAAGGGGATCAATTTATGTCGTGAACAGGATATCGAATAAATTCTAGTTCGACTCGGATCCATGGAAGATTCTAATTTTAAACAACACGTTCGACTCGACTGTTGCGATATCTCTAGCCTCCTATGAATCTCGCAGTATACATGAAAAAAAGACAAACTTTCTCTATTTTAAACGATCGCCTCCTGTTACATTTCACTGGAACGAGGAAAAGGCAGAGAAGATACATCTAGGAAGATGGCAATCGACGATGTCGTGCAGCTGAAGCTTCTACTCGCAGCTGGTTAACCTGTATATCAGATTCTACCGGAAATCATCAATTTTCTACGACGTTAAATGTATTAATACTCTACTTGCTGCCTGGATTCAGAACGAAATCTCCTAAATTTTATATAATACAATTTTATATATATAATATATAAATATATATTATATATAGAAAATATTATACGTAGGAGGATATCGGATCCGTAAAGAAGATTCATCTGTGTTCACGCATTCATCTCAATTGCAAAATTCCAGAGGATATCGCTTCGGACCGGGAAAATGATATTTCGTAGTCTGCCGGTCAGATTCGGCGGGTATAGAGGATATTATACATGGGTGTGGCTGTCGAAATAGGGGTGGAATGGAGGAATAGAACCCGTAGCGGTTTATGTAAATCAAATGCTACGCGTAGGGATGCCGTCTAATCAAAGATTTCTCCTCTACCCTACTTCCAGTTCGCTGAAATTCAATCTCTTGAGCTTACATTGTGTCTTTGTTTCGTCTTCCTTCGATTAAAACTGTCATAATGTATTTATGCGGGTATTCTAATTGGCCTAGCGCGTCTAGCGTGCCACGGTATTACGTAATTGTAACAGATAATTTTGCAGCTTTGATAATTTCAGTTTAACAGAATTTTAATTCAACCGGCTTAAATGCGGAAACCTGAATCTGCAACGGAAAAGCTTTGAAAGTTCCTAACCACTTCCTGTGCGAAAGTTTCATAGCTCAAGTTACTCGACATCCTTCCGAAATAATCGCAAGGAATAGTGAATCGATAATTATCTTAAAAGACGATAACACAAATAGAACAATGACGAACAAGCGAAGGAAGGAGCATAAACGCAACAAAGGAAGAAAAGACGAAACTAATATAGGGAAACCGATGTCCGATAAAGCTTCAGTCCTATTCGTGGACCTATTCGAACATAGCTGCCGGAGGGTAATAGTTCGTTAAAAAGAATCTCGAGATGCTTCCGGAAGAGGCACGTGTTCTTGTCGGGTATCGTCGTCGACGAGAGCGGAACGGAGCAGCTGGCACAGATTTCATTAATTAAGCGCTCGTTGCTTCCACAACGGCGCTTCGAACGTAATTGAATCAGTCCTGGCAAAGCGTTTCGGAGAAGTGACAAAGACTGAGCGGTCGAGAAAGAGAAAGAGAGCACATCATCGGGCAGCGTGACGTATCTAACAAAGATTAAACTGCGTCAAGATCGGCCAATTCGACTCGAAACTAAATGGTATCCGGATCGTATTGGATTCACCTTTTTGCGCGGTGGTTACCGGTTTAATTGCACGTTAAATCGGATAATCGGTTCGCGTCAAATATAACAGCATTAGCCGGTTTTCTTTCTACCGCCGAGCGTCGATTTCCCTGATCGATTCGCCGATCCGCCTCATCCTCACGGAACCTTTAATTTTCCCTCTACCCGAGAATCACCGAGTCAATTTCTACAATATTTTCCGTATACACGTATTGGTTTAACGTCAGATTGCTTTGGCAGTTTCAATTAAACTTGAAAATATTGGAATTCGAAAGGAGGGAATGGAGCCAGAAGCAGTTCTTAACCCGCTGACTCTTTGGTGTTACAGTTCTCGTAGCATGTCTTGACGAGTAGGAGAGGCTCTTCAACGGGGTTTTCGGCAGACAAGGGTTCTCCAAAATGGCGGGCGGTCAGCAGCTTCCCGAACAGTACACGGTTCCGCAGCTCGCTAGGGTCTTCCACAGCCTGCCGCACCTCAACGTCTCTCTCCACTCGGTCAATAACACCTTTAATCCACATTCCGAAATCTATCTCGAGGTAAGTGCAAATTTGTCTTCTCTGCTGTTTCCTAAATTTTATCCGAAACCTTTCGGTTCTTCGACGAGAAACGAAACTCTCATCGGGATATTATCGTATCTCGTCAATTCCTCGACGATCAGAAGAAATGCGCGAATCGTGTCCACGCCACCGGTAAGTTTCGGCTGGGTCAGCGGAATAAATGGCGTATCGCGTGGTTAACAGAATCGTGATATCAATCCACCGGCTCTGCTCTTTAGTTAGGGCAGTATACGGAAGCAATCCAGGCTCGATTCCGTTTTGGCCAACGTACAGAGAGCATTCCCCTCGATTTCAAGCAAAATGTTCCTCGATGCTTTCCCCGTCCTAAAGAAATGAGAGATTCTTTGGCAATGCTCCGTGAACCGAGCATTCGTCGAGATAGTTGCAAGCGTTGGATCCATTTCTGAAACGAATCAAAAAGTTGTTTGGCTAAATTTGAATCTTTTGGAGATGTGGTGGTTCGATGGAATTCGTTGTACATGAGTAGTACAATTTTTATTAAGCTTAATATTAATATTTTAATATCGATGTATGTGTAATACGATATATATGTCGGAGATGAAAGGACATCCCCAGAAAAACCCCAATACCCTAGTCCAGACTTTTACTATAGCTACACTTAAGTAATAAAACTAAGAAATAGTTTTAATGTTCTAATCCGATTTTATGACGATGGGCTTGGGCTCGAAGTGACATAACGGGTCACTAACGTAGCCACGGTCACGGGAGGGACGTGTACCTAACAGAGGTATGGAATAATTATATAGCTCTCCTTAAAAACAATGATTGACCCGAAAGGTGGGGAGAAGAATATATAAGGGCAGTTCCACTTGGACTGTGAGTTCATTCAGATAAGTTTTACTTGTACGTTGAGTCATACGTGTATCGCATCGCATTCGTCATCCCGTTGACCATGGATTCGTTATCGAACCTGAATTCATTGTCATCAGCATCTCGACCATCCGATCGTCGCTATTACTTGTAGCCCCTTGTAATAACCACATTTGTACCAATAAATATCAGCTATAACTGATGGTTCGTCAAACGCCCAAAATTCCAAACTTAACCGGACATATATAAAGTAAAAGCAGCATATCCTATTTTAATCAGATTATCGTTCGACTCGAAGCTTTATTTCGTCTTATTTGCAGTTTCAGAGAAATATGAAAATTGATTACGGAACGTTAAATTCTTTGTTACATGAAAAAAATCATCCTGTAATTCGTGGTTCCAGTTAGCACGTTAATTAGAGTAATCGTTTCACAGGACGTTTTAAAAGCTATTTGAGTTCGAAAATTGGGCGCCGAATCCGCTGTGCGTGAAATAACCGTGAAATCGTCGAGCTCGACGAATCTTATTAATTCTCTCGTTTTGTACCATTTACTCTGGAAATTAATTACCGCGTATAAAATCTGTGGAACTCTGTAAAATAACTAGTGGAGAAACATATTACGTCTCGTTCAATTCGAAAGCGACCGCGACTATCCGTAAAAATATTTCCTTGAATCGTGCTAATTAACAGAGGCGCGCAATCCTCTAGTCGCAGCAAGATGAAATTACACGATGTTCCAGTCCCATCGGACGTTCGAATCCTCGTTTTTCCACTTATTTTCTTTGCCCCTCTGCCTCGTATTTTATTGACCATCGCCACACGTCCGTCGACGAGAGTGAATTACCTCGTGTTCCCGTGTCTTTCGACGAAACTCTATACGAATGAACGATAATGACGTGTTAATCGACTGGCATTCTTTTTCGTCAACCGCGCCGGGTCTACCTGGATCCAGTCGCGTGCCGCTCGTTTCAAATCTGAAATCTTCACCGTTTATCGTCTGTCCGCGTGTTATTCGCGAACTGACGCAAACGCGTTCGTGAAACGTGATCGTATCGCGATAGTGTGCGAATAAAATGTTAACGACGTGCACGTAAAGTATTCGCGAACTGTTTATCGGTGAATACGCCTCGTAAAAACCGTTCGAGAGGATGAAATATCTCGATTGACAGACGTAACCTTTTCCGCGAACGTTCGACGAAAGCGGGAAAAATGACGGTGACCTACCCCGAAGGAAACGGGTATCCCAGACGCCACGAAACAGTTCCTCGGTACGTTTTTTTTATTCGGGCGAAGTGTTTCCAGTTTCTTGTCCCGTCCAGACGGATAGCTGTCCAAAAGGTAGCTGTATCGAGGAAAGAATCGCGCGGTTCGGCGTAACAAAGTGGAAGAGAAAGAGAAAGAAAGGTGAAGGAAAGAAGAGACAGGACACGGCCGGGATGAGAAGCGAAGAGGAAAAAGGATGAAGAGAAACGCAGCTGGATGCCACGAGTGCACGAGAATCCAAGCTGTGTGTAACTGGAAAGCACAATGGCCGGGAAAGCTCAAACAATGCACAAAGGCTTTCGTATAATACGCCTGGGGCAACGTGTGGGCTTTAACGGGCTCGAAACGTCAGACCGCTAACTAGCGATGGGCTCAAGACACTTCCAATCGCTTCGAATAGTATCTCCAGTCAGTCACATGATATTTCCGAGTTAACGGTTACCGAATTAGCCTGTTATCGTTCCGTCTTCGTGATCCTTCAGAGGTTTCCACAATTAGATGTGAAACTAACGCGAACATTGATCGTTCGTTTCACGTGCCATCACTGTTATCCTGTATCGTAATTATTAAAAATAATATCAATAACTTCGAGATTTCTAAGGCCTTCGAAAATGAATCGGACTTCGCTAAACTAAAAACACGAAACGGCGAAAACCAATGTAAATTACAAAATTTTTTATCGAAACGGTTGCGATCGATGTTCATTGTGAGATACTTGAAACTACGTCGCATTCAAATTTCAATCAGTCAACGTACGATTATATTTCCATATATTAATAAAATATCGTGGAAGAATAATCCTGCACTTTTACCCCGACAAAAGTTACCGAACGTAGTAGAACAACATCGATATTTCACGTTTCGGTACGAACCTTTCCCCATCGCTGCTTACGCGGTATTCTCTCCCTCTACCACAGCAACCTCTTGCCCCGTACTCCAAAAGCATCGGGTTCTCGTGCCTCTCGACAAGAAGTACGATCGCCTGGTGCAACGTCTTTCGTTGCAGATGTCGAGGGCATGGGCAACATATTACTACGGGATCAAGACGGATATATCGTTGCGTTTGAGCAATTCGATTGTCGCTCGTTCGCGAGATTTCCTGGGGAAGAGGTGCGTGCAACGGTGCTCACGTACATTGATCCTTTTCCTGTAATCGGCGAAACGAACGCTGTCCGCCCAATTATCGTAGCGGCAGGTGCCGGATAACGAGAGCAACAGGAGGAAGTAGCACGTGTTTTGACAACGTTCATATCGTACGAGAGCTCGCAATCGAATTGTGAAATTTGTATAATTTTCAATTTCGATTTGGGGTCAAAATTTATGAGTGTGAATATTTGTGCCAAGTAATTATTTGTTTGCACGCTGCGTCAGCGATGTACATAAACCTTGACTGCAATATAAATGTACGATCGTATTTAATCTTTTATTTCCTTTCTTTTTTTTTTTTCTTGTTTCAATTTCATGAAATCGTTGAAAAAAGGTCGAAGGAACAAGAATGTGTAACGACCTCGATAAATTCGCGAATAACAAGCATTTGCCGGTTAATGAGCACATCCATATCGATACCGATCGTGGATTACGCTTTCATTACCGCATACAGAGCGTTTCCTGTTTCCTGTTCCAGTTTCTCATCAATCATATTTCTTGTTCATGCGTTTTCAATCATCGTAGATTACAGAGGAAAGATTCCAGTTTCTCTCGCGTCGTTGTTTCTCGTATCCAGCTTTCCTTCGCTTCCTCTTTTGTCTGCCATTTTTCTTTACCCCCCTCCCTCCTTCCCCCGCCTGTCCTTCCACTACTTCGTTGCTGCTTTTTCTGCTTCAGTCAACCGGTGGATATTTCATTTTTCCCTTTCTTTCAGCCTGTTTAACGTTTTCTTTCTGTTCCTTCGTAAGTTCCATTAACGTGCCGTTTTATGCGCTATTTCCGCCATTTTCTGCCTTTGAATCGAAACAGATGGAATTACCTTCAGCGTATAACGGAATTAAATAATACAGATATTCCGCTTTTCATAATATTCCTTCCCAGTATCGTCTGTTCTGTATCAAGTTATACGCTATATACCTGAATGAACGTTCGAACGTCTTTAAATTGGCATAATATCGGCGGATCGCTCGAAATCGTTCAACGATCGTACGAACCGTCAGAAACGAAAAGTGAAAAAGAGGAAGAAAAGAGAGGAAGGTAAATAGCGTCATAACGTGGAACGTTCACACTGGCCTGGTTGATCGTAGTATATCGGTGACATCGAAAGCGTGCGAAATTTAGCTGGCATGCACACGCAGACACGTTACTCTCGTATGCGTCGTCGGTAGGGTAGTCAGCGAAGGAGAAGCCTCGAGGAAACGCCTGTCTGAGCACCCTCGACGCAACACGAGCTCTGGTAATTGGGTCCCCGGCTATTGTTCCTGCTGCTTGAAAATATTTCACGAAACGCCCGCTGCAACGACACCGCCGCGCCGGGTAATTAAATCGTGAGATGGCGTTTTGTCGTATCTTTCATCGTTTGTTTTCTAACCTCCAATTCGACCGTAGATTAACGATCTCTCTCTCTCTCTCTCTCTCTTTTACCACCTCTACCGCCTCTGTCTTTTTCATTTTCGTACAAATCGGTTTGTAGAAATTACCGTTTCATTACGCAAATTTTCTTTCGTCGTATCTTGTTACATTGCCATGTTAAATAGACAATTTCCATAATGTTTGAAGTTGAAAAAAGAAAAGAGGAAGAAAGAACTGACGACCTCTGGTACCGAAGTGCGTGACTGCCTTAAAGAAGGGCACTGTACTTTAGTTAAGAGGATTTTTGTTCCAAAGGTATCTCACGTACTTACAAACGCCTTGAAAGAAATCGGAAAAAAGCTCGGGTACGACGACCCTGCTGGTAACCCTCTCTCGTTCATTCTATTTTCAGATTAGCATAACAAGTAGATAATATGACACAACTTAATTATACTGTCGCAATTTAAAGGATTACCATACCGTAGAGGTTTAAGCCAATGTACGTGCAAATAGGGATATTATCGATCGAGATTAACGACGGGAGGTATCTTAATTAATTTCACATACGTCCATCTCCTCGTAACGAGTCATTTTCTTTTTATCCATATAGTAACGAAACCATGTCATTCTCAATGTCCACGTTTGATAATTAAAATGTTCAATACCCTTTCCCATGTATTTAGTAAAATTACGCAATATTCACTGCGCAATTATTTCCCTCCCTTGATAGAAAGTCATTTTCCGTGTACAGAAAATTCGTTCCGATGGATTAACTACCGTAAATTACGTTTTATGTAACGCAAAGTACTTACGCGACTTAATCGAAGTATCGAATATTTAAAAATCGTCGAAAGTATCCAGAGATTTACACACCATGTGCCTCGATTGATAAAATCAGGGAAACAATTCAGATCAACCAGCGATTTTTGCCAACAAATTTTTCAAACGTTTCCGAGAATAGATGGAGTTGTGATTGCCCTCTCAACAAGATAAGTCTCTCGGCACTGCAAAGAGCTTGTTTAATGTGGCACAAACGCGGCGGATTTTTCTGATTAAAGTCGATTTACAACGAACGTTCCTGCTAATTCCACTGATCGTTGTTCGGGGCGGGCTCCTACTCTCTTTCCCTCTTCGCCAGTCACTCGAATAAACGCGTCCGAGTTCTTTACGCGTCGACGTTCTGCCACGGACACAACGAAAAGAGAAGGAAAGGAAGTAGAACGTTTCTACGATTCGTCGACTACGAACGTGACGGCTACGTGGTGTAAACGTGAAGAGGAACACGAAGTCGCACGTGTTACGTTGCGACACGGAACAAACAGAATGGTGTCGAAAAACACAGTCGAGATCCTTTTCACTTACGAACTCGATCATTCAGATTCCAGCAGAGTTCTGTAACGTGACGATATAAAAGAACCAAGTATGCTAACAGGGCAAAAGAAACAACGCGTTTTTCGAACGATGCAAGAAGAGAGGGCGGTGAAGCCCGTATTTACTCTTTCAGAGGTTCGCGAGTCTCGAAAGAGAATTCATTTGCGATTTTATGTGCTACCTTCCTAGACAACCGGGTCCCATGAAGTTCGAGCACGCCCTTTCCGCACGTCCCTTCTTTTCTCTCTCTCTCTCTCTCTCTCTTTTTCTCTCTTTCTCTCTCTTCCTCTATCTCGAGTACACTTCCGGATTTATTCCAGAGCTTCTGTCGCACTAGGTGCAACGACCGTCTTCAGTTCGTGTTCCGTAAACTGTAAACAGAGGCTTGCTGTCTAGACGCGATTCAGGTCTCGAAATTCGGCCACTCTTTCTACCTCTATCTTTGACTATCAAGCTTCAAACGAGAGTAATTAATACAGTAAGAATGGCTATTACAATTCATGTTATATCTGTGCTGTAGCTGCAGCAACGCAACCAAACAGAAATCGTTTCCAAACCAACTTATTTGCTTTCCTGTAGTATTGATTTTCGAAAAGTTTGCCTAGAAAATAATCTAGGTGGATAATGTCAAGAAATCGCATTAGCATAGAAAAACTGCATACGTTCGATTCTTCCGATCGTAGAGCAACCGTACGTGCGAAATTCAGCTCGACGCGCAACGAGGTTTGTTTGGAAGAAAAGCATATCGGTTGCCGGCTGGGAAATGCGCCAGTGAAAGAAAGATTTTCCATAAATTCACACGTCTCTCTGTATCATTCGTCTTCAACTACTCGAAACTGTCGCTGAAGTTCTCGACAAAAGTGAGGAACAGATATCTCCCTGATGGCTAGCATCACGGTTTGCGATCATTTTCTTTTCTCTGTCTCCAACTTGGCGACACATATCTGCTTTTTCTTTGCGAATCGGTTGTGCTACTCGGTACCTCGGTATCGTTGCTGGATAACTCGGTTTCTCTGCCACCGATGATCGTTCGAGGATTTTTAAGGATGTAATTATCTACATCGAACGCGATATTTAAGATATTTTGCGGGTTTCGTTAACCAGTTAGCTATTGCAACCTCTTTGAAAAGTGTGTACCTAAAATGTGTCGCGAAAAGTAAGCGATGACGAGTATACTCGTCAAACACAGAGTATATGTGATTGTTATAATAGAGAATTGAGTAATAAAATTACTGTTTTATTTTCCTTACGCATGACGAGTAAACTCGCGTCACAACACAAAATATCGCCATTTCTTCATGACGAGCATACTCGTCAAAAACGTTCTTCCTTCTTTTATACGAATCGAGGTAATGAAATAATTTCTTGTCAGTGGAATTCCATTTCTAAATTTGGAAAAAATGTAAAACATCAAATTGTCAAACATCTTCGTTATATATTTTCAAACTATTGTATTCGACTTTGCTTTGTTCGCGTCGCTTCAGCAATTTCTTTCCAAAAGCATTGTTCGAAACAGTCGAAATGGACGTAGCATCTAGCTGTTTTCAATATTCATCATACGTTTTGAAATATGTAACACTCGCAATCGTGTTGTTCAGTCTAGAGAACATTCGCACCAATTAAATAAATTATACTTCAGTTTGTTATTAACCGGCCGGTGTAATAAACTGACAAACTGACTGAAATTAAAATTCGTCTCTCATTTTAATTTCATTATTGTCCTTATATTCGAACCGCTTTAAAAAGCCCTAAACTTTGCTACGATTTTTGTGCGACAGTTAATATCCCTGCAAATGAAAATTTTGCCGTTATCGCCGTTTGTTACACGTGGAAACATAGAGACGACCGGCTTCCGCGAAAAATCACAGGCATCGAGAATTATAGGCGAAGTTTATCGATGTCGCGTAAATAATGAAATGCAATATGTACATACACCGGTCGATGTAACCGGTTTCACGGGGTGGCACGCGAGCCGCGAGGGTGGTTGACCCCACGGTGGCGTGCAGGCCTTTGAGTAACACGACAGAAAAATCAAATCTTCCGCGAGTCACAGCAACAACGACAGTGCGATACACCTTTCGAGCGTACTAAGCTTCCTCGCTAAACAGAATATGCGATAGCACTCTCCGCTATGCGTTAATCCACCCTTTACCAAACCAGATGGATTAATAGAATAACGACGATAAAAGTTATTACACAGCTGATAACGACGACACGATTTATCTTTGTTGGATCACGGATCCAATATAGCTCGCATGAAAAAATTCAATTGACCATCGCCATTAAAAAATAATTTCAGTCGTGAAATTCGGTTATTCCATAATAGTCTCGCCTGTGCTTTTTCGATCCTAGATTTTTGAATCCTATCATCTCACAGAAGCCACTTCGATCAATTGCATAAATCGAAAAGCAAAGAAAGACGACAATGCTAATTGTAAAGACAATGCATTTTGCTAATTTGCCTTACCGTTACTTTACTGTTACTCGTGTCATCTTACAGCGAATGACCCCGTGGTAATAAATAAAAATGAAATTGACCAATCTGGCTCCTTAGAGGTTCGTATTGCGTATAAAGAAAAATCAATGGGTAAAGAAATGAAATTTCAAATAACAAATATCCATCCGTCTGTCGATAAAACGCATTTACGAGGACAGATTCTTACGAGGGAAGTTTCCGCAGTGTCAATAACGATAACAAATACAGCAACTTGTAGCGGCGATTTCGAAAACTTTTCAATCTTCCCTCGTAATGCCTAAGATACTGGCGGCAATCGGCGATCGGCGATCGGCGAGCATTCTGGAGCACGTGAATTCACTATGATTCACTCGGTGTGAGTCACTGTACGGCGAGCGACGATCTTCGCGAGACAGGCGGATCACCTTTCGACATCCTTGCAGGCAGTTAATTAGCGCGAACAAGAGCAACAAGCGTGTTCTATAGCGGCGTTCGCTAATAATATGCTCCGATCGAGCGTAACCGGTGGTCCCGATTAGCGCACGCATCCGTCGGCGATCGGCCGCGATTCGGTTCAACGTTCGCGTTATCGGGCCGGGAAATTAAGAGAACGTCGAGTCTAGTCGCGGATGTCCGCGTGGTTACTGGAAATACTCGTTCGCGTCGCATTTCTTTTAGATCGCCGCCGAGTGTGACGTTTGTGTTCTGCGTGGTGATACCTCGTGCTCCACGATATCGAGACGGTTATTGCAATTTTTATGCGTTCAGGAAGTCGAGTTTTAAGCTTAATTAACGGTACTGGTCGCGTGAGCGGCAGCTACGAATAATCATTAATTAGAAAGTAGCTGGGAAGCTTCTCTGATCTCTCTCCCTCTCTCCCTCCTCTCTCTCTCTCTCTCTCTCTCTCTTTCGCTCTCTAACAAGGAGTCATTAGCGCTCGCAGGAAATTTTGGAAAAAGAAAAACGAAAGACACGAAAGAAAACGGAGCATCCGGGCGATGGTTTTAGATTTAATTAAACCTCGAGATTTCCGTCTACGCCGAAAGAAACACTACTCGAACGTTAATTGCCAGAAAAATAAGGCGAATGCAAACGGTGGTGCGGGGGAAGGAAAAACGGAAACGATAAAAATGAGATAAGGAGGTGGTATACGCGAATGGTTTTATTAAAGATGCACGGCGATAACTAACGTTTAACTTTAATTAACAGAGTCTCGGGATACTTGGAAGTATCCCTGCAGCCTGGTTAATCCTGACGTTGCTGGTGCTCCTGGTTTACCTGGTAACGAGATGCTGCGACCGGAAGCCGCGCCCCAGGAGGTCGATAACCCTGCTGAAGTGTTCGCTGGCCATCCTGGCGTTACTTTGCAGCGGAGCTGTTGCCGTCGGCCTCTACGGTAACGACGACGTGCACAACGGTTTGGTGCAATTGGTGGCCGCCGCAAAGAACGTCGATGGTATTCTCATGGGTGTACGGAATCAGGTTGGTCTGCCATCACGAGATACGTCTGTCTGACACGGACTCTCAAACGTCCTCCTGCCCGATTCTAATTAGATACGCTCCGATAATGATATCGTTATTTGCCTCGTTCCAATTACATAGACGAATATGTCGATTCAGAATGATAATCGATGCTTCGAAATCAATGGCGAACTTGGAAGAACAAATTATGGATGTTTAAGATAGCGATGTTTATGTTGTGCAATGAAATAATTAATCGGAGTAGATTTGTTGGTTCTTTCGAAATTCAATTCGTTGGTTGATGTTTTACTCGATCTATGCATTATTTTTATCTTTTTTTATCGTATTTATAAATTAAATTAAATCATTTGGAGAAAACGTTGTTTTTAGAGAAAGATAAAGGAAACGAAGAATCTTATCTTACTACGTAATGCAAGAAAGATCTTTCCTACTATTTCTGCTCTCTAGCGACGTTCAACGACTGCAAACCTTCGTTCCGTTCATCTTCAGTAGTCGCTTCTCGAAGGAAACATCTCGTCCACTTCAACTTTCTTATTACTACTTGTTCGTTCGTACATTCATGTTTACACTTTAACCGAAAAAATAGAGCTGCAACTCGTTCATAATTAGTTCACGGTCTTGTCTTCTTTTTCTTTTTCTTTTTTACATTTAAATGTTCCTTGATTAGCGCTTTTAATTCGGGTCAAGAATAGCGAGGAGTTTGCGGACAACCGTAATGGAAATAAACCTGAAAGAAGAGAGACTCGTCTCGTGATAAATAATCCGATTTCCAGCCACCAAGGAGATTCCATTTTTTAATTAAAGATCTTTATCTGACGGACTTAATTTAACCGAATCGCGGTAAACGGGATTAAATTCGTTTTTAAAGAATTCGGCGAGTGAATTATCACTCGTGTCCTAGAACTAGCGATTACTTCAATTATTTCCGCGGTAAAGGAAGAAAACATTTTTTTTTTTTATCAGTTTTGGAATTATAGCATAGCGTGATTTTATTGGACATTCGCAAGATCGATCACGATAAAGATGTAAGACGATCCACTGTGCCATTTTTCGTACAATAGCGTTCTATCTTCATTATTATAAAAAAAAACTTCAACATTATAATAAATTCATTTAGTTTGAATAGGCGATTAAATCCAAATTTTCAAAATCTTGACTTATGCCAATGTGATTGTCTGCCATGCGAGAGGATAAAGTTCATTTGTCACCTTTATGCTCGCTTCATTCTCACAAATTACCCTATTAAATATGGCTATCCCGTTAACACTGTGAGTATTACCTTGGCGGTTGAAATCACTTAAAAGGTATTTGCTTTTCAAGACCGACACCATCGAGACGACATTGAAGAAGAAGGTGCAGCTACAGTTGACTGCCTTGGGGGACGATTTCGATGCCCCCGTCAGCAATAAAACCATGCTCGGTCTGCTGTTGGCCGCTCTGCAGAGCATGAAGCAAAACACGAACATCGCCGTGAACCGCAGCTTCGAAATTCGAAAACCGTTGAGCGGAATCAGCTTGGCTGGCGCGATCGGGATGGGAGAGAAGATAGAGCAATTAAGGTGGCCCGTCACCATGGCCGTTCTCAGCGCGCTACTCGTCCTCTGTGTGGTGCTGGTCGTCGGAGTTGCGCGACATTCCAGATGCGTTCTCATAACGTACGTGTTTCTTTTCTTTCGTATGTCTGGCAAAAACCGTGCGAAAACAGGGTTCTCCTGTCCGACTGGATTCAACTCTCTTAAATTACTACGTTTTTGTGCCTTCTCGCAGCTGCAAACGAACGAACGAACGATGGTAATCTTACATCGGTAAATTTCAGAAACGTCTTGACGATGTTAAAAGTTTGAGATAGGATGAGAATCGTTTTGAACATAATTCGACAACACGATACGATAATATTTCATAGTATTTCATGGTAATGTGAATAAATATCAAATAGAAATGTTTGAAGAATATGGGAATAATAGATCGATTAGTTCTGGTTACTGTAATAATCGTTCGCTTTGAAATCTTCTTTTCAGATTTTCCGTGTTTGGATTATTTGCGGTGATAGTCTCGTGGTTGATGGCTTCGCTGTATCTCGCAACTTCAGTGGCCTTAGGTGATCTCTGCGTGTCCCCAGACGGTTACCTAACCAGAGCGGTACCGGCCACTCTAGCCTCTGAGGTTCTTTCGTATTACACGCATTGTGAGAACACGCGCAATAATCCATTCAGCCAGAGATTAAACGACGGTCAAATCGCGGCAAACAACATGAGAGACAACATGAGTACCGTGACCAGGTTGGCACTGGAACTATTCAAGGAACAACAATTGCAGCCGAAATTGACCAGCCTTTCGATCGACGTGAACACCGTAAACAAGCTCATGTCGGGATTAACGACGTTACTTGATTGCAAGCCTCTTCACAAACAATACGTTCATGCCGCGAAGAGCTTATGTCATTTAGGATTGTGAGTTTGGCACTATTTTTTATTCTTTCGCTATTTAACGAGGGCCACGAGAAATTGATGTAACTATATATGTACATGTATCATAAATTCTCAGAATGATACGAAACGCGAATGTACGATTCAAACTATCGATCGCGTTGTTTCTATGGTATTTTGTGTAAACTGTTTACCTGCTGCGAAATGATTGATCGCGGAAGGTTAAAGCACTCCATTAACTATCCGAGATGTAATTAAAGAAATACCGTAACACCGTTGAAATTCTTCAGATACGGACTAACTTTCATGCTGTTGGCGAGCTTAGCCGCGGGACTGTTCTTCACCGTGCTAGTTTGGGTAGACTCTCACACTTGGATCTATATTCGAAAGCGGTGAGTGTGTACGTTTAACGCAACTAAAAGATACAACGCGCGGAGTATGATTAACGAGGACTTTGTTCTAGAAGAGATTACCATCAAGTCGATGAGCAGGACCCGTATCTACCGCCATCGGCAGCTTCGCAGGCGATAGCAGCGCGGACCCTTCGAG